TGAGGCCTGGAGTTGCCTACCCCTGCCTAAAACCAAAGCCTCTTTGCTTGCCTTTCAGATTTGGGGAGTGTAATCATAGATTCATCACAGTGACGAGAGACCTCAAAGTTTGTGATGAAATGAACTTTTCTTAACTTTGAAGTTCATTTCATCACAGACTTTGAGGTCACTTTGAAGTGAATGATTGAAGCAACTACCAATCCAAATTCAATTTTCAATTTAATTGTATTTATATAGCACCAAATCACAACACCTCAAGGTGCTCGACAGCTAAAGATCCGACAATAATCCAGGGAAGACAATCGCACAACCCCCTTTGAGCAAGAACGAGTTAAAAGTGGGAACCAGAAAAAATCCCTTTTAACATTAAGAAACCTTCAGCAGAACCAGACAGCCATATGCTGTGACCAGTTTGGGGTGAGGGGAGGAAGATGGTACAAAAGGCACACAATGATAGCGATCAATGCCCATGATAAGGTTGATTAAAGTATGGACTGATAATAGTTATATTAGGCAACTGGATGGTAAAATTTTCTGCTAGTAACTAACGGATGGTTTCTGAGTGATGCACGATGAGTGAAAGCGGCTTAAGTCTGTTTCTTGTCTCTAGTGTCAGATAAAAGCAGATCTTTAGCCTCTCGTTCAAAAACCCAAAAAAAAAAAAAACCCCAATACAGAACTTACGTCATGGCAACCAAAAGGCCATTTTTTTTTTTTTAAAGCAAGTAGGTGACTTTAGGGTGGCTACGTCAATCTTTCATGCCGTTTGTGGTGAGTCTAAATGAGTAAGGGACGCTGAAGTACTCAGCATAATGAATAACCAATACTTGGCTAACCTAACACAGAACCGGCCACTTCAGTCTCTACAGACCCAGCTTTTAAAGTACACTTGTAATGAGACTTCTGACATTGTATAATGCGCTCTCGTACACAGACTGCTTCAGTCCTCTGTTGTCCTCATCTTGTAATGTGTGGGCGCCAATTAGCCAGGCTACGTTTGTTATGAAACTGTTGTGCAGGTAATTGCTTGTAGGACGCTGACATGTTGGTCTTAGCCTTGCCGTTGAGGGATGATAGACTCAAACTTATGTATTTTTCCATTTGCGGTCAGAATAATTGCCCCGGGGTGTGCTTGCGGGGGAGAAGAAAAAATTGCATCCCCAGCTGCGTTTCTGCTGCAGAGATAAAGCGAGGCGAGCAGCTTGTTGAGCGGTGTGTGGATTCTTCTAAATTGTCTGGATGAAGAGACACTCATGTCTCACGTCTCATAATCTCATTTCATTTATCGATCTCTTCTTCTCGTCCCCCTATTCTTCAACACTTTTCATCCGTTTCCTCTTTATACCTCTCTGTAGGACTCTTGATCTCTCGTCACATCTGCTCGTGTCTCCTTCTCTTTACCTCGTCTTCCCCTCTTTTTTTTTATCTTCATTTCTCAGCCATATGTTTGTCTCAATTGCCTCGCCGTCCCTTTTCTCTCTGTCTCTCGCCGGTCTGGGATCAGTGGCATCTAATGCTTTCCGCTCTGGCTGATTAAGTCAGCACATGTACCCTCTTTTAAATTATCACTCGCACACGTACACACTCATGCACGAGCGTCCCCACAGACCTAATCAGTCCTTCTCTTAGTTCTCTCTGTTTCTCTCACACCACTCCAGACCTAATGAAAAAACATGAGCTCTGCTAAAAAAGAAGGCGAGATGGACAGATGGGGGGGAAAAAAAAAGAGAAACAAGGTAGCAGCAGCAATAATAAAGAAAGACAGAGCAGCAAGGAGACTAATTTGTTAACAAAGACACCAGTCGCTTTCGGTGCCCGCTTCCAGTTCAGAGATATTGTTTCCAGTCATAATGTCATGCAGCGGTGCAGTGGGAGGTGGGGTGGGGGGCTGCAGAGAGACGGAAAGGCAAGGTGAGTCTGGCTGTGAGAGCGTTTTCAGTCCAGCTGCATTCTGTTAGCCACTAAATGTTGTTCTGTTTGGCTAAATGCAGCTGTGCTGTGTTACATTATTCTACTCTCATTTGTATTGACCGCATAGCAGACTGCTTGGTGGGTGTGTGGGTGGGTGTGTGTGTGTGTGTGTGTGTGTGTTAGGGGGGTAAGTGGGAGAGGTAGCATGTTGAGTGAATGATTGATACGGGACTGGGAGTCTGCTGTGGAATGTTACTGTAAGTGTGTGTGTGAGTACTTGAGGGAGATGATGGGTTAAGTGAGTGAAGGTATGATTCTTTATTGAATGAAGGCACGCGTTCGTGCATGTGCGCATGCACACCTGATTATGGTGATGAAGTTCCCCGTCGGGAGTCTCTCCCGCTACAGTCCTCGAGTAGTTTAATGAGAAGCTGTTTCCGTAGTTACCAGGTGTGCGAGCCGGCAGCTTATAACGTCCTGCGGTGAAGAATAAAAGATGGCGAGAGAGAGGCGAAGGAATGAAAGTGGTTGAGGACGCCAGAGAAATGAAACAGAAAACACCCTGATATCTGGTGTGAATGATCAATTTAACCGTGTGTGTCTGTATTGATGTTTGTGCTCGAGAGGCTCGCTGAGGGCGTTGCACGCGGCGAGCGGAGACACTGAATCTGTGTAATAAGCTAGAAGACCTTCAAATCGATCTCCATTTAAAGTGGTAGGAACAGCAAGGTGGGGCCAAGCTGTTAGGTTCTGGTCAGATCATATTAGGCATCTCTTGGGATGAAGTAAAAGCTAAAGAGGATTTTATGCAATGGGGGAAACATCCCTAGCTCAATAAGCACCTTTTATTTATTCTTTGTTTAAAAATAAATAAATAAATCTAGGGCGTCTGTCAGTTTCCTGTTTTCTCTAAAGTGGTAAAAAAAATGTGCATATTTTAAGTGTTTGAAGCAGCTAAACAAGAAAAAGTTGGTGCTCTTCTCTTCCTGGAGTAACTCTTTGTGTGTGTGTGTGTGTGTGTGTGTGTGTGTGTGTGTGTGTAAAAATTATAAACTAGTTTATGTTTAACACATTAGTGGTTGCGTAGGCTGTTTCCTCTTTTAATCAGAATACTTTATTAATCCCTAAGGAAAATTATGTGGGTTACAGTTGCTCCAAGACAGTAACAGTAATAGACTGAACTAATTAAATAATATGTTACAGAATTTACAAATTTAAGAAACGGCACTCTGAGCACCTGTACTGAGGTATCATTGGAATGCTGGTAAAGACAAACATAAACATACACTCATGTCTTCAACCCGTCCGTGCACGCTCAGCATGCCAGGTCACAAAAATTAAGAGGTGCACAACAAGAAATCACTTCCAGATGGCAACAATGTAAATTAAAACGGCATAAATTAACATAAACTACATTTGATGTGGTAGCTTTCCCTGGCAGAGCTTGCTCTGGGACTCGTTTGATTTTATTTTTTGAAGGGCTTTTTAGATCTGTGTGGATGTTTCTCCTGTTTGTATAAAAGCATCTAGTTTCCTCATGCCACACATGCATCCCAGGTCAGACACCTGTTACATAGAAAGCTTTTCTTCTGTTTTTGTATTTTTAATAGACGTATTATTATTATCATCTTCCAAAAATCAAGTACAAATTTATATGTAACAATCGTTGAAACTTGAGTTATTAATTTAACAGCTATTTAAATATTCACAAATCACAACCATCCGTAATCATCCCTGTACAGTTTGGATTTTGCTAATTTAGTCATACCTGCCAACACACCTGTTTTTTCCTGGGTCCTTTAAGGCAGTCTTACAGTCTCCTGCCTCTTAGCTGTTCAACATAGAATTTGTCTTTTCCTCACTGGGCCAGTAGATCAGACTTTCACTGGCCCAAAAAAACCCTTTTGAATTACTTTATATAATAAACTAACTTAATCTCTAAAACATACGATCATTTTCTTAGGAGGGTTTTCAGAAAGAAATGTGTAGCTGGAGGAGTGAATGCTGTGCCCCTCGCCCGCCGCATGTCTTGCTGCTAGAAAGAGACATCATGCCTGCCAGCAGCTTGCAGCAAAGGTTATGAGAAATGCCAAATTGAGAGACCTAAGAAGTTTACCTGTACACAGACAGCTTTGATTTTAGCTGCTTCTTCATTTCCTTGTGCTGTCTGTGTCTGTGTGGTGGATGAAAACAGCTAAAAAGATCACTTTTCTTGACACTAAAACTTTCTGAACATGCTGTTTTATTTTAATGTGAAAATACTGTAGTATATTACTACCCTTACTACTACCCTGTGGTGTAAGAAAAATACATTAATTCCTGATGGTTCATTTCACCCAGTACCCGTGAAAGGTGAACAGATCTGTGGAAATACTGTTTACATATTTTTTTTTCTTAAAAAAACAGCAGCTGGTTGGTCAACTTGCCCAACACATGTTTGTTATGTTGAACCCTGATGATGCCAGTATTGCACAGACTTAACCTGCAAAGATAATCCCACACCTCCATGAATAATGTTCACATTACTGGAGTATTTGCTGAAAGTTAACATTTAATTAACATTAAACTCTAACAAAAAATTGCCTCATTATAAAAATCTAATGCCAGACTTTGGTGGAAAGTTAAAGCAGTGATGTAACACTATATACTGTAAAGGACCTGTTTTGAGATTATTTCTGAGATCTGCCAGTTTGGTTTTTTTATTATATTTTGACAGTCGAAGGTTCAGTTTTCCTCCAGGTTGGGTGAATGAATGACACGTGAGCTTCTGCTAAGATATCGAGAGCAGAGAAGAGGGTAAAGGTGCAGCAGAGTAAGAGTCAAAAGAAGACAAGAAATAGTTCTGTGGGTAGCACCTGTCCTTCAGGCTTCTTTCACTTAAGAATTCAGATGAAATTCGTGCTCTGTTTGTTGGTCCTTGCTGTGTGTCTGCATTTTTTTCTCTCTCTCTCTGTGAAAAGTAATTTGGCATTGTGTCGGTCAGGGTTATCTTTAAAAGCTTCTCATCACTGCTCTTTGTTCTGTTCTCTTGTGTAAGCCTCTCTTCTTCTCTCATTTTGTTGTTTTTTTTTTTTTTGTGTCCTGGCCAGATCTGATCCACTGCACCAATGAGATGAACGTGAACATTCCCCAGCTGGCGGACACACTGTTTGAGCGCACAGCCAACTCCAGCTGGGTGGTGGTCTTCAAAGCTCTTATCACCACCCACCACCTCATGATGTACGGCAACGAGGTAGGAGACATCACACACACACACACTGACACAAACAAAAGCCCTCCAGGGCAGTCAGAGCAAGCTACATCAATAAGTGATATTATTACTCAACCCTGTCTCAACCCACACACTCGTAAATCCGAACATACACAGATTTTAAAGTCTTTTATTCATGTCTGTGCATTGTGATCAACATCAGCGGAGTGGGAGGGTGGCCGACCCGTATGGGACGTAAACAGCATGCACAGTAACTGAGGATGTATATATTGGACACGAGGCGTGAGTGATTGAAGTAGCTGTGGAGCGCTGAGAAATTAATTAGCTCAGCCAGAGGCTAGATGGGGGACGAGGATGGAAGCAAAAGAATAATCAAATAATTTAACTTCATAAAAAAACATGCTTGGAAGCAGGAAGAATAACCCAGCTGGGTCTCTCCATGGGTTTGCCGGCATTCAAAGACAAATCTGAAATGAAAGCCCAAGCAAACCTTTCTTTGTTCATGAGAACTTTTTTTTTCATTAATTATGAGGTCTGATAAGGACCCGTGTACACAAAATGTCAGTTTATATGCAGCAGTACAGATTTTAATAGAGAGATCTGTGTTTATTTTATTAAGGTTTTTACTTAGTGAACCACTTACTGTCCAATACTGAGCTTTTAATTTGGTATTATTTTATTTAGAGCTTATTCACTGAGCTTCTCCTGTTTTTTCTGCTTAAATATCAAGTTTATTTATTTACCTATTTTTGCTTTTTTGGGCCATGTTCTCCTCTCTCATTGTATTTATTTTACTAAGCAGTCTAAGTCATCATTATTGATTGACTTTAACCCTAACCCCAATGGTAGGTTCAATTCCAAATTGAAAGTCGGAATTTTCAGCTGAACCCCGTCAGACTTGGAAATTTGGAGCAGCCGATGGCGGCAGTTAACATAAACATGATTAAAACTGTAGAACTTGTAATCTCGACTGCTAGTGTTGTGTGTTTGTAACTTACTGAAAAAGCCCCACAGAGAGTGCTGACCAGGCTCTGTCCTTGAATGTGCTGCAGCGATGTTTTTAAGGAGTTAAAAAAAAGCATTATGCTTTACTGCTAGTGATGCACGAATGGCTCTACCTTGCTAAGGAGCTAGGGAAATAAACTGGCTATCCAACAGTATAGGATTTTTGCCAAGAAGGCTTGCTACGGTGACAAAATCCTCACTACTTGTGTTAAGTTTGTAATTTTTCCAACTCATCACTCTCAGTCCAGCTGCTGGAGATGTTGATGTATCTGTATGAGACCAGTTGTCAACCATCTGGCAACCGCTGATCACTGCGGGCAGGGCGGGGGGGTGTCACAATCAGACTGATTGTGACTGATTGCTGCTGTCTTTGGAGTGAAATTACTTGCAAAGTGGTTTACTTTCCTGCACCAAAACCCTCTCTGTGGTTGCTTTGGTTGCTAGCACATTGCCTTGGTCACCATACCAGTTGGCATACCAGACGCCAACTGGGCTGCTTACACCACTAAACTACCCGACAAGCGGTAGCAAAACGTGTCATGCAAACTACAGCAGACATGGGTAATCTGCTACCAACGGTGCAGCTTTTTACCTCACCAGCTGGACAGGGAATGCACTCCCCCCCCCCTAATAACCTGTAGTTGCTAAGGGGTCAGTCTCCAGGGCTGTGTGATTGAGGCCTTAACTTTATTTATATATTTTTTTCCCTGGTCATCCAGTAATGGTTTTGAGAAGCACTGCCATAACATGTACTACAATCCTTTGTCCAGGTAAAAGTGTTGTTTTTTTCCCCCTCTTTGTGAAAAAAGAGGTCACTTATTTACTTATGTAGTAAATATATTCATCTTATAGATGGTAATAGAACTATGCAACCACTTTCAAATTCATGCAGTGTACAAAAGTCACAGCTGGCTACCTAACCAGATCTTGTTTATCTCTAGCAACATTATGCGAGCGGAAATGTTGGTTCGCTTGACAAACTTCTTCACCATCTGACATAATCCAAGATACTTGCTTCTGTGAAATGTTCTGTTATTGAGTTAAGCAATCATTAAATCCTGTAATGGCACAAAGAAAATGTGTAAAACAGAGGCAGGTAAAAGCATGCAAGTCACCTTTGTTGTTGATGCATGCAGTGCATATGCTGGTTGTTGCATAAGATGCATTACACAGAGTGCATACAGTGCTGCATAATAGTTCATGACACTGTGTGTTTGTGTCTCATCACTGTTTTTGCTGCAAGTAGCTTGCACATTTGCAGTAAATAGCAGTGGAGGCGCTGCATGAGGTTCATTTGGCGGTTGTGGTTATCATTAATAACAGTGGTTCTCTGGAAGTCACACCCAGTGCAGTTTCTCCTTCTTTGTGGTGAACTCTGCTGTGGTTTTTACCTTTCCGTTTCACACCAACCTTTAAAAATGTCCGTCTTTGACCTAAGATTGTCTCTATGCCCAGAGGTGATGATGTTGTTGGCTTGTAGAAGGACTGCACACAAAAGCGACTCTGCCTCTGCTATGGTTAAATACTCAGAATCCTTCCCTCTGCATTGGTGGAAAGCTATTTAGACACCAGTGCTGCACCAAAAGCTGGCCCTAACTCCTGCCTGATGCTCCTGCTAGTTTCATAATGCTGAATGCAACTTTTCTGAATTGAGTAGTAGATGGTGGGAAAAAAAGGAACCTTTCTATCATTTAGCTGTCTATCACTTAATTATTTTGGTGTAGGGGTGAGGGGTCTTTTCCATTAGAACAGCTTTAAAACCTATGAACATACAGTTAAATGTAAGAAAATCTATATCCTCCCTTATACAGTGGGTGAGACTGGAGTGTTTGCTGGACCAATTCTGGCCTCAGACCTTATGTTGCACGCTCCTGGTTTAGGAAATGTAAACGTTTTGCTTCCAAGCTATTAGCTTAGCTCTCAGTCTGTTGCTGTTATGCAATGTTTTTGCGTAGCGATAATTTGGGAGCTTTGGTAGATTAACTTTGGACGGAGGCGGACTAGTTGGTTCCCCTTTTTCCTGTTTTTTGTGAAAGCTAGCTAGCATGCCGCTTACTCATATTTATTGTGCAAACGCCAAAGTGACATAAATCTCCACTAACTCTCGCTAAGAAAACGAAAATGAGGAAATTCTCTAAAATGTCGAATGATTCCTCTAAAAGAGCAAGCCGCTCTGTGGATTGTTGTCATTCTTCATCCATCAGATATAAGTAGATAACAGTCAGCTATGAAATGGTGGGTAGTTAAGCTTGTTTGCAAATAAACTGTGTACTGTAGGATCAAAAAAAATACCATGCACTTGTACACAAACACTCCCAAACGCCGACACTCCCTGCACCGCATTCCTTTCAATATCAGTCAGTATGGGGAAGCATCGCTTCCTTGTTTTGCCAAGATCAGTTTTGTCCACATTACATAACATTTCCTGTTGGAGGTGCATTGTTTGATTGCGCCAATCTAAAGTTCCTCTGAAAATTGAGGAAGACTTGGGAGTGAGGCAATTGCATTTTTGGTGTTTTGCTAGAAACCTCTTCCTGACTGGCAGTATTTTAGGTTCAGAGCATTAGTCACAATACTCCAGAATTAGCTGTTGCGTTGAAAGCACCAGTGCAGCAGAGACAAACTGACACACTTAAAAAAAAAAAAAAGAATAAGTCAAGACCTTAGTTAAGAGAGACATCAGCAGGTACCTCCATCCTGTTTGATTACTCAAGCTGTGGAAATTCCTGCAACATTTCTGATAAATCAAATCATGCTAAGTAGGTCACTGCAGAGCAGCAGGAAGCGGTTTAGAGGTATTCCCGAACTGTAGGCTGATTTATCTCGGAGCTGTCGCTGTCAGAAGGAACCCGTTTGATGTTGACGTCTCACCTACAGTGATAGCAGCAGCACACTAGTTTCTAATTTCTGTGTTACTAACGAAGAGCTTGCAGTCAGTGTGTCTTCCTGTGTTTATTTCTGCTGTGGCATATTTAAAAAAATCTAATCAATCTTTCTTTATATTACTGTCTTTCCACCTTTTCATTGTCCCCAATCCATCATGGAGCCATAATACTGAAGTAATAGGCATCATCTTTTTGTGTTTGCATGTAAAGACTAGTTAATGCATTGTTGTTGTTTTTTTAGATTAGCTTTGCCTGTACGACCTTGTTGAGAGGTTATTAAATGTGTAAAATAAGAGTGATGCACCGAATCGCTAATAGTAGGGAGATGCACTCCTCCTGCTTTAGCCCCGTGGAGCGAGGCTTCCGGCTGTAGTAGAGACAAGACTGTGTACTCATCAGCCTGCATTCATCAGACCTGTCAGGACACTGGTGCTGACTAGGGCTCAGCGGCCAGGTGTCCCTGCTCCCTCACGGTCGTCCCATCCATTACAGTCAGAGCTGAGAGAAATCCGGCCGTAAAATTAGAAACCAAAGACCCGCAGAATTGGGGTCAATAGACTGTACATTCCCCTTCAGATCAACACTGCTGAGCACTTGCAGCTTGTCTGGCACACTAAAGATGGCCACGTTCGGCTTCTGACGAACGATCTCGTAGTAAAGATCGTGACGAGTGGTGTGAGTCTTGATGTAAAAGGAAATGACATCATGTAGGTTTCACCCTGAAAAGTAATTTCCTTGGTTTTAAAGAACTGCTAATCCCAAAATAATTGCATCTGTCTGGGTTTTCGGGGGCATTATTTAGTCTCCCAGGTACTCTAAGCTGTGCTTATTAATGGATGATCTGATATCCTCGTGTCGGTGTTGTTCCCACATCATCATAATAAATGTTGTTCCAGGTTCAACGGTGCAAGTGACCAATCACATTGTTGTGACGTCCCCCTTTTGTGCCTTTGAAAATACCACCTTAAAAAAATCTACTTCACTTGCGAGAAGAGAAACCGCTTCTGTCCGCCCATCCAGGAACTTAAATTCTTTGCATTTCAGGATAATTGTCTTTAATAAACGGTAAGCATTATACATATTGTCCTTACAGAGGCGGTTTCTCCTCGCAAGTGAAGTAGATTTTTTGAA